AGCACCCCGTAGGACCCGCGCCGCTTCAGCTGATCTGGAAGCGGCCGTGGGTCCGGCCCCCGGTGCTCCGCCGCTTTGCTCCTGTCTCCCTGGTCTGCTGGCGGAGCCAGCAGACCAGGGAGACGGGGAGCAGCTTTTCTCGCCCCGGAGAAGGCGGGCGGCGGGACCAGGCGTCCCGCTGCTCTAGTTCTCTGGGGCGAGAAATCCCCATTCGTAACTGCGGATCCGACGTAAGTCGGATTCGCGTAACTCGGGGACTGCCTATAGTAGATTGTCTTGAAATTCCAATCCTAACCATTGTATTTGCTAAGTATTCTTATATCAATAATTTGTAATGATGATATTAAGCAGTGATCAACACATGAAAAGTAGCATGTACTTTGCAATAAATTAATAATTCTGTAATGTCCTTGAAACCTAATGAGATGGTAAAATGATGGTGCAAGTTCAGTCTGTGATTGTTCAACAGTTCAAAATTGCAAATTGTCTCTGAAACATGCCAAAAACACTTGTGATTTCATCTCTTTCTGTGGATGCAGATCAGCAAACTGAATTGCCATTGCCTCATTGTGAATGTAGTTAACAATTTTGTGGATGCAAACAAAGGATTTTGGGTACACAAAAGGACATAGCCACATAATTTACAGAAATATTTTAGAATCCTGTTAGAGAATTCACTCTAAATGCTCATATTTATAATTTACCCTGTACATGAAGGTTGCATCACAAATCCTTTGCCTATAATTCTATTTCTGTGATGGGGTTTGACAATCATGCAGCTTCCATGAAGTAATAGCATCAGTGAATTAAATTTATTAATAAGCTTTTTAGCAAATATAGCCTTATTGTTTGCAGATGAGAATAAGGAATAAGTCTTTCTGGGCAAAAATTGGGTGAAGACAGCATTTCATTCCTCGCATTCCCCTGCACAAAATACCATCTGAAATCTGTCTATCTATCCACCTATTGTCAGTTGTCTTTCTAAGGGAAACATGTACTGAGTGTAGGACAGTATGCTTCAGTGGACCCACTCAGACGCAGACTATGATACATGCAGTGTGCTGGAAAACAGATGGGATTTTTCAGTTTTTTCCTTTTTGTTTTCAGTCTGGGCTTTTGTAATACACTTCAAGAAAATACCATGAAATCCAGTATTGTGAGTAATCGAATGATTCATAATTACAGACTCACTGGGATTTAGATCCCAGAAATGTTACAGAAGTCTAGAAATCCATATTGACAATATGCCAGTGACTGAAAATTGGCTTATAATTAATGTAATGAATGCTGAGCACCTGCTATGAGATATACCTTTCCCAGAGATTGTATATCTAAGAATAAATCCAAACACTTTCCCTCTGATAAGCAGTTTTTCAGCATAGAAACGTACCTTGTTGTAAATCATTCTGCTAGTTTCCTCCTCACAATTTACCTAAAGGAGGACCTCATGTTTTCTTTTCCAAGAGCCTGAGGCCACACTAAATGGGAAAGTGTTGCTGCCCTTCTGTTCAATATAAAACCAACTGGATCAAGATTCTAGGACCCATTATCCTCTTGGGCAGCATTTCTTCATTAAACCCACTTTTCTGCTTCCTTTGCAGAAACGCGTGCCATATTTGCTGTATGTGGTTTACTGTCTCTGACTCTTTTTCGGTACATCTACACTGCATGGCTATTTCGGGTCTGTATGTGGTTTACTGTGTCTGACTCTTTTTCGGTACCTCTACACTGCATGGCTATTTCGGGATACTGGAGGTATCTACACAAGCCGCCCGTTATTTTAAAATATTTTTTTAAATAACAGGTGCGCTATTTCGGCACCCCGGTAACCCTCATTCCACGAGGGCTAAGGGATGTCTCAAAATAGCTCATTATTTTGAAATTTGGCACTGTGTAGATGCGCCAAATTTCAAAATAAGCTAAATTAGATTCGAAATAAGACCTGGAATTTATGTTGTGCAAATTGCATCTCTTATTTCAAGTGTAGGGTGCTGTGTAGATGCAACCTTATAGAGCATCATCCATAAAGCGTAGGGTGCCAGAATCTCCATTGCTACAAGATGATGTAGCACCACTGACTTCAATGAAGCTGTGATCTGAGGATCTGAGTCTAGTGTTTGTCTGTCAAAGGTCCAACTTTAATCCCTTTTCTTCTGAGCTCTGTTGTAGTTTTTATGCTGCAGTAGAACATGGTCGTCCCCCCTAGTGGTTCCAATTCTGTCACATCAGTGTACTGTCAGCACTTCAAACTGACCCAAACTTTGTCTATATTACACAACGTTTGGAAATGCTGCTGCTGCTGGCTCTTGGATTTCACCAGATACTTCGCTGAAATCTGCACTATGCAGAAGACTGAATCTTGCTAACACCAGTGTAGAGGAGGTCTAATATGGTAGATGAGCCAGCAGCTTCATGCCTCATCATGTACAAAGCTCATTCTACACAACTGAAGCAGTTACTAAGCTAAATTGTCTCCTGCACCTGAGCCCTGCTCAATGCAGGCAGGGGTTCCAGCTTCCTGATCATGAGGGTTGGTCTATGAGAGTGGCATCCTTGACAGTGCTGTTATAATGCTCTGATATGTTGCTGTTGTAGAAGCACCACACCCTTGGCAAATGGATTGTGTTAGGACTGAAGGGAGTGGCTAGCAGAAGACCCAAATCAGACATAATTGTGCCAGAAGGCCAATCTCCTATTACACAGGAATTCTCAGTTTGCTGTACAGGCAGTCCCCGGGTTACGTACAAGATAGGGACTATAGGTTTGTTCTTAAGTTGAATTTGTATGTAAGTTGGAACTGGCTACAGATTCAGCCGCTGCTGCTGAAATTGACCAAGTGCTGACTACAGGAAGCTGGAGGCAGAATTGCTCTGCCCCCAGCTTCCTGGAATCAGCCACTGATCAGTTTCAAC